GTAATCAAAGTTTCACTTAAGAAGCCTTCTCTGGATCCAGATGACCCAATGAATTATAGACCAATATCTAACCTTCCATTTTTATCCAAAGTCCTGGAGAAAATAGTGGCCATCCAAGTATGTCAGCATTTATACACTAATGCTCTGTTTGAGGAATTTCAGTCTGGTTTTAGAGTATCACATCACTGAAACTGCATTAGTGAGAGTTACAAATGATATTCTCATGGCCTCAGATAAGAATCTTGTGTCTGTTCTAGTCTTGTTAGATCTCAGTGCTGCCTTTGACACAGTTGATCACAATGTTCTTTTAGAAAGACTTGAACATGTTGTAGGGATCAAAGGAACAGCGTTAGGCTGGTTTAAATCCTACCTGTCTGACAGATTTCATTTTGTAAATGTACATGACAAATCTTCTTCATACTCCAGGGTTACTTGTGGAGTACCACAGGGTTCAGTGCTTGGACGATTTCTTTTTACTATATATATGCTCCCAATTGGTAAAATCATTAGACAGCATGGGATAAACTTCCACTGTTATGCTGACAATACCCAGTTATATTTATCCATTAACCCTGATGAACCTAATCGGTTGGGTAGATTACAGGCTTGTCTTGAGGACATAAAAAATTGGATGACTCTTAACTTCTTGCTTTTAAATCAAGACAAGACGGAAGTTCTCATCTTTGGACCAGAAATCCAGAAAAGGAAATTGCTTAGCCAATCGCCTGACCTTAATGGCATTACATTAATCTCCGAGAACAAAGCAAGGAACCTTGGTGTTATCTTTGACCAGGACATGTCATTCAAATCCCAGGTTTCACAAGTTTGTCAGATTTCCTTTTTCCACCTTCGGAATATTGCTAAGATTAGAAGCATAATTTCCAGGAGTGATGCTGAAAAACTAGCTCATGCATTTATTACATCAAGGCTGGATTACTGCAATTCATTACTCTCAGGAAGTCCACAGAATGTAGTTAAAAGTCTTCAGCTTGTCCAAAATGCTGCAGCTAGAGTTCTGATGAGAATTAAAAAGAGAGATCATATCTCTCCTGTCTTAGCTTCCCTACATTGGCTACCTGTTAAATTCAGAATAGATTTTAAGATCCTTCTTCTCACATATAAAGCTCTTAATAATCAAGGTCCATCATACATCAGTAATCTGATTGTTCCATATGTTCCTAACCGAGCACTTCGCTCTCAGACTGCAGGTTTACTGGTGGTTCCAAGAATATCTAAACTTAGGATGGGAGGCAGATCTTTTAGTTATCAGGCTCCTCTCCTGTGGAACCAGCTCCCAGCTTTAGTCCGTGAGGCAGACACTTTGTCTACATTTAAGAATAGGCTTAAAACATTTTTATTTGATAGGGCCTATAGTTAAAATCTGATGTTAGCCTAAATCTGGACAAGTGGGGGAGTACAGGGAGGTGGAGTGTACAGTCGGTAAAGACGGCTCTCCATTGCCCTGCCTCCAACATGCCTACATCTAAATAGGATAGATTATCCAGAGTTAACTCTGTAGTTATGCTGCTATAGGCTTAGACTGCTGGAGGACACACTGACCACTTTTCACACTCTACTGCTTTATTCTACAGTCTGCTCTTTAACTGTACTATTTTGTGCAATTTCAGCTGTTAACTTTATTTTCTCTGTAAGTGTTTTTCTCCCCAGAAGAATCTACAATGACGTTCTGCTGAGCTGTGGTGGCCTCATGGAGGGGGCCATCGACTAGCACACTGCTGCTAACCACTAATACATTCTCTCTCTCCTGATAATAACTTTTTGTTTTCATTGACTTTTGATGTGCTAATACTAGTTTATCCATTTAATTATAGATCCACTAGGATAAATACAATAAAGTTTATCTTTCACCAAATACAATATTTACTAAGACATCACAATATAACTATAGACACATTACTTGTCTGTGTGTGTGTGTGTGTGTGTGTGTGTGTGTGTGTGTGTGTGTGTGTGTGTGTGTGTGTGTGTGTGTGTGTGTGTGTGTGTGTGTGTGTGTGTGTGCGTGTGTGTGTGTGTGTGTCTGTGTGTCTGTGTCTGTGTCTTTGTCTGCCTGCTCTGTCTTCTCGATCCCCAGTGAGTCGTGGAGGATGGCTGCTTATACTGAGCCAGGATTCTCTGGAGGTTTCTTCCTGTTAAAAGGGAGTTTTCCTCTCCACTGTCGCTGCATGCTTGCTTAGTATGAGAATTGCTGTATAGTCACTGACACTAGTCAGTGACTTGATGCAATTTGCTGGGTTCCTTATATAGGAAACATTATTTCTGATTGGCTTAATGAACTGACCTGTATTGGAATGTTTATTATGTGAAGTGCCTTGAGACGACTCTTGTCGTGATTTGGCGCTATATAAATAAACTTGAATTGAATTGAATTGAATTGAATTAATTCGAGGTAGCCAGAGAAGATGATGGTAGCAGGATCTTACCATCCCATTCACTGATCTGTCCAATGTGAAGGGTGCTACCAGAGTAAACACCATGTTTGTAACAATCATGTGAGCAATCACCAAAAGCCACAGTTAAATCTAACAATACAAGGATTGTGTCACCAGCATCACTAAATCATTTTTTACTGATATATTCTTCTAATATATATGTAAAGAGAAAAAAACACTAATGATGTTTTTGTTACAATAATAAAAACATGAGGGGAAAAAAATACTAGGTGAAGCAGCTATTTAAATCACCATTGGATTCATTACCAATCATGTTTTTGTTCTCAAAACCAAATGAAATTATTTTGATGAGTTACAAAATAAAAGATAAAAATGTTGCTTTAATTATTTTCCTAAGTACAGTAAACAGATGGAAAAGAAGACTGTCAAACTCAGAGAGGACTTTTATGTGAATTGGTGCTTTATGAAAAAGTGAACGGTGCTGAAATCAAACAGATTTTTAAAGGGAGACTAGGCCGTTTTGGCTTGCTTTTAGCACCCCCTAGTGTCTGTTTAGTAGAACCAAAAAGCAAAACTCTCCCCGCTTTGCGTTGGTTTTTTTTAACACCTTAATCTAATGTTAAAATGTCTCTGCAGCCTTTGTTAGCTGTGTTCATGATCTCACATGATCTAAAACATGCAGGAAATGTGCTGGAACCAGACTGCAGTGCCAGGTATGTCAGCTCCATTTGTTTTAAGTCCAACAGACCGAACCAGCATTCTAAAGATGCAAAATGCAGTATTCTGGCACAGGAAGCAGTGTGGGTCTGAGTGACGTTTCATCAACCCTGTAAAGGGTCATTTTTGCACATACTGGCTCAAGAAAATGATTGAAATATATGAAAAAAATTACAAAGTATCCCTTTAAGATACTTTGTAATTTATAATATAAATATAATAGATCAATTTAGCTGTCAATTTCATTTTTGTTGATCATGTCAGTCCACCATACATATGATACAAAAATGTTACCAACACTAAAAAGCCAATGAAAACAATACAGTAAAACTACATTTAATTTGAAAAGGTTTTAATTTCTGTAAAATTACTCAATGAACACCAACAGCTATGGAAATATTTTTAAACAAAGGGATATAAGAAGCTTTAGCATCAGCATTAAATCAGATGTTAAGTCACCAACTGCCTCGACGTTATAAATGTGAAACCACCTTCTGATCACAGTTTAGCTCAAACAAAATTGTCTCAAATCTTGATTCTGTTTCATGGACTTCATCTTCCTTTAGCATTCTTGATGAAAACAATTTGTGCCAGACAAGATTCATGACGCAACAAGTTAAAAGCCTGCAAGAGCAGAAATCCATATCAATACTAATTTTCACACCGGAGTGTTCCTCAGAGTGCAATAAAGACAACCGACCGGGCAGCTGATTAAAACACACTCCCCTCGGTTTACTACCCGAAACCTTGACCGTAAATACTTGAACATTTAGTACACTGCTTCAGGATTGTTTTAATTGGCGATTTTCCTTTTATCCAAACCGCAAATGAAGGAAATTTTGCACTTTTCTTTCTCCCCTTTCTTTAAATCCAGTGCACCCAGGCAGCAGCCCAAGTTTCATCCCCATTCACCAAAAAAAGACAAGTTGGGTTTTAAAGTTGAATTTTTAGAGGAAACATCTCATAAATACCATGCATATGTTAAATGTAAGATCATCCTACACGTATACAATCTGTCTTTTAATCATGTCAGGTACTGTGGCTAATCCAAAATGAAAACTTTGGCCTCATATCTTCTTAAAAATGTCCTTTCAACTTATCTGTTGCATTCATTTTTGATGAAGAGGAGCAACCAGTGGAGGCAGGCCGAGGTGCCTCAGGACTCAAACAGATCAAACAAATCAAAAGCAAAAGGGTAGTGCTGTGCAACATGCCTCGATGCAGTCTCATCATACAACCCCCCCCCCCCCCCCCGATAAACCACTCAGGTTGGTCTGAACCAGCTGGAAAAACATGAGGCAAACCAGATGTTTCTGTCAGTAGAAATGAAACATGAGCTCTCTGATTCCACTGGCTCCCAGGGTGGAGAGGTTTCACTTTATTTTGCTCTTCATCATTTGCTGGCATCTACCCTTTAGTTTTCTTTTAGCCAAACCGCAACATGTAACACCTGCATTACACAAGCTCACTGACAGACGGCATGAAGCAAAAACCAGATATGAATGTGCCCCATTATACTTAAATACACATAAGACTATTAGCAAGTATTAATGCATGTGTGTGATGAAGGTCTGCAATGTGTAAAACCCATCAGAACCTGGTGAGGAAACAAAAGTCTGTCCTCCCACTCTGACAATCTAAACAAATGCATTAAAACTCTCAAACAGGTGCAAAGACAGACGGTCCACACGGATGACGGATCCTCAATGATGAGGCACATTTACAAAGAATGGCCAAAGCTCCACCTAGTGGCCATTCTGCATATTACACCACTAACCATTAAAGTTACCATGACAAAAACAATGTTTACAGAACTGGCATGAATCTTTTTCTCTGATCTCAAGTCATGCAGAGTTTTGTACAGCGACTAACCTGATGTTCAGTCCGGTAGACTGCCCCAGGTTCTCCCAGGCCTGCAGTTTCTCAGCCAGCCTCTAAGGGACATGCAGACATGAACGGTTAGTCTAACTACTGTCAGATCCGAGGCTGCGCGCACACAGGAAGTTAAAACAATGAGGACCGAATTTTAAATAAAGTAGAATTTAGAAGTTCAATAAACCACAAGATGATGTAAGAAATGTTAAATATTTACCTACCGGTAAATACAAATCATGATCAAAATGGAACCACAATCAAACATAAGAAACTGATCAGTTTTTATATATTGAATCCATTCAATAATAATGTATAATTACAGCTTTTAGTTTTACCTGCATCTACTGAAGTGGAAAAGGGTCTCCCTTGTAATTTTTACTGATACTGACTTCATGCAGTGCTTTAATGATTATAATTAAGGTCACTAAAGTTAAACTCATTGCCATAAAATAGAAAAAATAATTTGATGGAGACCAAAAAAAGGCAGAGTAAGTCACCTCTGTGCTCGACTCCCAGTCAGTCTAACAAAGGTTAACCTTTAAAATGTTTTAAATGACCTTCAAATTAAATACAGCTCAGACTTAGTAACCCTCCCAACCACAAGATCCACAGATAGCTCCCCTCTAACTGTTCCCAGGTTTGAGATAACGTAAGATCCAACCTTTTCCATTAAATCCTCAGTTTTATCAAGCTCTACTAACTGAACTCTGAGCCTATTACACAGGCAGAGGTCAGTCAGGGAGTTAAAAAGCTCCCCTGGCAGGGTGATTGGTGGGATGAGATTCACCCTCTCTTCAATGTCGCACGAAGAACAGCACTTGTGGAACGGCAGCTGATGGCGGTGGGCCCAGCAGCTCCAGTATGTAGTGATAGAAAAGAAGCTGAGCTAAAAGGCACGAAAGCCCTCTAGACTCACTGGTCTAACCCTCACTGAGTTATGACACTTGAATTGTGACCAAATGAACTAAATCCTGGATGTTCTCAGTCTCAGAGAAATGTGGGAGTCGAGCTGCTGCTCATTATAAATAAATGAGTTGATTTTAGAACGTCTTCCTCTGGAGGTTTTCCAGGTAAGTTCAACAGGATGGAGAACTGAGGGCAGAGCTAAACAGACCAAACTGTAATAAATCCTTCCTGGTCTGGATCTTGGGATCCCCCAGAAGGAGCTGTGGAGAGGCATATATGGGTTTCCCTCCTGGACCTATTACCTCCACAAACTGACCGTGGATAAGCAGTAGGGAATAGATGAATGGAGACACACAGTTTACCTCTTTTTCCAGTTCCATGTTGACCAGCTCCTCTTTAGTTTTCTCCATCCTCTCCAACTTTGACCTTAGTCCTTCCACCTTCTCCTTTAGGAGGCTGCAGTTTTCTCTACTCTCCCTAAAAAGGACAAGTAAATACTTCACATAAATGTCAAAATGCCATATCACCTTTTAAAACACACTGAAATATTCATCATTTTTATGTGTAATGTAATAATAATTGTTTTAATTTTCTCCCACCTTATCTTGCACAATGTGTGTGCTTTCACAGCAACAAGGCTAAACGATGCTTAACAGCTACTTAAGCACGTGGTTAAGAAATTTCTAAAACATTACTAATAGCTAGAGGTGCTCTGATCCGACCACATGATCGGAAATCAGGACTGATCACGTGAAAGGATGAATGAAAGGATTCTGAATACGGTAAAAAGATCAGATTTAAGCTAATCAAAAAAAAATACATGACTTCTTTATTTCATCCTGAGATGGTAGAGATTTTGAATCAGAACAACAACAACATGCTTTTTAATTATAACTAGTTCCTCTACATCAATAGTTTTGTTTCCTGAATGACAACAACACCATAATGTCACAGAATTTACAGCAGGCAGAGATTTAGACACCATAACATGCAGCTGTTAGCTAGCAGGCTAATGCATAGCTAACATCTCCTCAGGAAAGAAAAAATGTCCGTAGTTTAAACCAGACAGTGAAAGCAGAGCAACAGTCACTTGTAATGTGTGCATACTGGGTATTTAACCTGGTGGAAAAGACAGCTGCAGGATACGCCACCTTCAAAACAAATTTCTTCCTCTTTGATCTTTTCACTTCAGGTGTCGCCACAGCGAATCACCTGTCTCCATTAAGTCCCAGTTCACAGCAGCAACTTGGACAAACACACAAGCTAGTTGACACTGAAAGATACGCTAATAAACAAGGAAAAACAGCTGGCAGACAGCAAAATGTTGGGTTGGGCTTCCTGACAGGGTTGCGGAAGGTGCTTTATAAATAAAGCTTTGATTTGATTTGGGGTTTCAATGTCCGCTGGAGCTGCGCTGCCACAGTAGCTACAGGTGTTGTGCAGAGAAAAGTGAGCCTGTCCGCAGACACGTTTATCACTCAATGCAGTCACATTATGGGGACATTAATGAAAACTAAGAGCAATTGACACTACATTTGCATATATCCATAATATTAACATGTTTTTATCTACATACTTCATAAACATGGGGCAGCAGTAGCTCAACAGGTTGAGCGGGTTGGCCAGCAATCGGAAGGTTGCAGGTTCGATCCCGGCTCCGGACAGAGAATTATGCTGTTGTGTCCTTGGGCAAGACACTTAACCCACCTTGCCTGCTGGTGGTGGTCGGAGGGACCGGTGGCGCCTGTGCTCGGCAGACTCGCCTCTGTCAGTGCGCCCCAGGGCAGCTGTGGCTACATCGTAGCTCATCACCATCAGTGTGTGAATGTGTGTGAATGGATGAATGATACACTGTAGTGTAAAGCACTTTGGAGTCCTTACTCTGAGAGGCGCTATACAAGTGCGGGTCATGTATCATTTAAACATGCCTGGGGGAGGTGATTGACAGCCTATGCCCCTTGTCGGGGCCACAGGCGTACATAGCTGGATAGACTTCCTAAACAAGTGATGTTTTTTGGCAGGTAACATAAATATAGTTTAGAACTGAGCCTATTACACAGGCTTACAAGTACTCAAATGAAAATTGTGTTTGACCTGAGAAAGGCATTTTCATCTCTGAGGCGCTTAAGATCTTTCTCCAGATCAGGAAGTCTTGCGACCTCTGACTTCACATTCTTCACAATAACAATGTCCTGCTCCTGAAGCGCCAGACGTGTCTCCAGTTCCTGCCGCAACAAATGGTTGGATAAGATCTTACATGTCAGATAAAAGAGAAGCCAAAAGCTGTAACAATGGTGAATGTAGCATACCTTAATCTTGATTATGTGCTCTGAGCATGAGGACTGGGCATCTTGGAGACTTTGACAACGTTGAAAAACTTCCTGGTACTTTCTAGAATAAAACAAAAAAGCAATCAGAACTGTGAGGTCAGCATCATTATCTGTGAGCATCAAAAGTCTCTGTACCTGCGTTGTAAATCCAGCTGTTCCTGTAGTTCCTGATTTTCCAGTGTTTGGGTAGATATAGTCAACTCCTGGTTTTGGATGTTCTGCCTGAGATCTCTAATCTCATCCTTCAAAGAAGTGATGGTCTGAAAATAGATTTTTGAGATATGTAAAGTGAAGGAGGATTTTTTTCTGGAAATCTTAATTTACATCCCTTTGTGTTGCTCTCTGGGTCACTACTGAATCTACAAACGCTCAAAATACAGATAAAAACCATCCATCCCTTTTCTGTCAGTGCCGTTTGGAGATTTCATGCTTTGTAGACCACAGATCTGTTATAAAACTTTTAAAAATGTATAATCTGTCCCATTTAAGGTAAACAAAAAAACCATCCATCCATTTTCATCCGCTTATCCGGAGTTGGGTCGCGGGGACAGTAGCCTAAGGCGAGAGGCCCAAACTTCCCTCTCCCCAGCCACTTGGGCCAGCTCCTCCGGGAGAATCCCAAGGCGTTCCCTGGCCAGGTGAGACATAGTCCCTCCACCGTGTCCTGGGTCTACCTTTAGGTCTCCTCCCGGTTGGACGTGCCTGAAATACCTCACCAGGAGGCATCCTGACCAGATGCCCGAGCCACTTCAACTGGCTCCTCTCGATGTGGAGGAGCAGCGGGTCTACTCCGAGCCCTTCCTGAATGACCGAGCTTCTCACCCTATCTCTAAGGGAGAGCCCAGCCACTCTTCGGAGAAAACTCATTTCGGCCGCTTGTATCCGCGATCTCGTTCTTTCGGTCACTACCCAAAGCTCATGACCATAGGTGAGGGTAGGAACGTAGATCGACCGGTAAATCGAGAGCTTTGCCTTCTGACTCATAGGGCTGTAGCGAATCCTCGATGACGTCGACGGCTCGATTCTAAAAATTCGTCGACGTCAGATCCGGTAGTCGACGCACTGCGCCCACTTGTTGCATCCCCAGGAGTTTGTAAACAGAGGTGGAATCTGCCCGTTTTTCCTCTAGTTCGCCCTCTTCTCCACCTTCACTAACATCTCCACCAAATACCGAAGACCCGGAACAATGCCCGTCCACTATTAGATTCCTCCTGTTTTGCCCACCTTCGTCTCCCGGCAACGGACAACTTCCGGGGTCAGATGCGCAGCTCCGTCTCTAGCGCAGATGTAGAAAATCACCGGGAGCGTTTCTCCCTTCATAAAGGAACTTCCTTCAGACATTAACGAGAGCTGTTTTGGTGGTAGCAGTCTCTCCTCCGTGCTGGTCTGTTTGCTGCTGGGTGTTTTTGGTTTATTTAAACTTGTATCTTGAACTTTACGTTGGTAAAGCTACTGTTAGCATTTTCGCTAACAGCTTCTTGCGTTTGGATAAGCTGTTACGTTTTGGTTTAGAGCTCATCTCTTTTGTGGTGCAGATCTCCCTTTTATTACATTTAGAGTGTTGTGGGTTTTCAGTTTAGTTTAAAATATCACCTTGAGTTTGGTTTAACCACCCAGTTTAGAATTTGGACCTTTGGAGATCCTTATTTTGGTCCAGAACCCTGTAATCTTTGCCCAGTGGGACATCCCTACTTATTTGTACTTTTGTTTTAATTCCCCAGAGGCAGAATTAGTTTTATTAATTCCCAACCTGTGGATGGAAAGGTTTATGTTTTTTTGTAGTTGTAAATAAACCTGATCATCACTTTAACTTTTAAATCCCGTGTTGTTGTCCCTTCCTTTTTGCACACGAGCCAAACTCCCCAGGAAGGGTCGTAACACCACTCGCCTCACGCACATAAGTGACCAGAACAAAGCAGCATGGAGACACTCCATCTCCAACCACCTCTCAGGCAGCAGCCTGCTCTCCCAAGTTCTACACGTCACCAGAACATAACCAACAACAACACAATAAAAGCAGTGTTATAAAAAATGGAAGGCCTGTATGTTTATTCTCTTACAGTAACAATTTATCAATTTTTTGAGGAATTTATTAGAGATATTTTGGTTTTTATTAACTGTGCAATAGAAAAATAATCATTAGATTAATTGTCTAAATAGTCATTAGAATAGTCGACTATTCGATAAAATAATCGTCAGAATAATCGTTTTAAAAATAATTGTTTACCCCCAGCCCTACTGACTCAGCTCTCTCTTCACCACGACAGACCGGTACAACGGCCGCATCACTGCAGATGCAGCCCCAATCCGCCTATTGATCTCACGCTCCAGTTTTCCCTCACTCGTGAACAAGACCCTGAGATACTTAAACTCCTCCACTTGGGGCAGGACCTCATCCCTGACCCAGAGAAGGCACTCAACCCTTTTCCGAATCAAGACCATGGTCTCAGATTTAGAAGAGCTGATTCTCATCCCAGCTGCTTCACATTCGGCTGCGAACTGCTCCAGCAAAAGCTGGAGATCACGTTCTGATGAAGCCAACAGGACCACATTATCTGCAAAAAGCAGAGACCTGATCCTCAGGCCACCAAAACGGACGCCCTCCACACCTTGGCTGTGCCTAGAAATCCTGTCCATAAAGGTTATGAACAGAATCGGTGACAAAGGGCAGCCTTGGCGGAGTCCAACTCTCACTGGGAACAAGCCCGTCTTACTGCCGGCAATGCGGACCAAGCTCTGACACCGGTCATACAGGGACTTAACAGCCCATATCAGAGGGCCTGGTACCCCATACTCCCGGAGTACCCCCCACAGGGACCCCCGAGGGACGCAGTCAAACGCCATCTCCAAATCCACAAAACACATGTAGACTGGTTAGGCAAATTCCCACGCACCCTCCAGGATCCCCCTAAGGGTATAGTGCTGGTCCAGTGTTCCACGGCCAAGATGAAAACCGCATTGCTCCTCCTGAATCTGAGGTATAACAATCCGACGGACCCTCCTCTCCAGAACCCCTGAATAGACCTTACCAGGAAGGCTCAGGAGTGTGATCCCCCTGTAGTTGGAACACACCCTGCGCTCCCCCTTTTTAAATAAGGGGACCACCACCCCGGTCTGTCAGTTCAGTGGGACTGCCCCCGATGTCCACGCGATATTGCAGAGCCGCATCAGCCAACACAGCCCCACAACATCCAGAGCCTTAAGGAACTCCAGGCAGATCTCATCCACCCCTGGAGCCTTGCCACAGAGGAGCTTTTTAACCACCTCAGTGACCTCAGCACCAGAGATTTGAGAGGCCAACCCAAAGTCCTCAGACTCTACTTCCTCACTGGAAGGCGTGTTGGTGGGATCGAGGAGGTCTTCGAAGTACTCTGCCCACCGATCCACAATGTCCTGAGTAGAGGTCAGCAGCACACCGCCCCCACTATTGATAGTGTTCGTAGCGCACTGCTTTCCCCCCTGAGGCGCCGGATGGTGGACCAGAATCTTCTCGAAGCCGTACGGAAGTCTTGCTCCATGGTCTCCCCGAATTCCTCCCATGCCCGGGCTTTTGCCTCGGCAACCACCCGAGCCACGTTCCGCTTGGACTGCCGGTACCCGTCAGCTGCCTCTGGAGTCCCACAGGCCAAAAAGACCTGATAGGACTCTTTCTTCAGCTTGACAGCATCCCTAACCGCCGGTGTCCACCAGCGAGTTTGGGGGTTGCCATCACGAAAGTCACCGACGATCCTGCGACCACAGCTCCGGTCGGCCGCCTCAACAATGGAGGCACGGAACAGGGTCCATTCAAACTCAATGTCCCCCACCTCCCCCGGAACATTTTGGAAGTTCTGTGGGAGGTGGGAATTGTAGCTCCTTCTGACAGAAGACTCTGCCAGATGTTCCCAGCAGACCCTTGCGATACGTTTGGGCCTGCCTGGTCGGACCGGCATCCTCCCCCACCATCTGAGCCAACTCACCACCAGGTAGTGGTCAGTTGACAGCTCTGACCCTCTCTTCACCTGAGTGTCCAAGACATGCAGCCGCAGGTCAGATGAAACGACAACAAAGTCGATCATCGAGCTGCGGCCTAAGGTATCCTGGTGCCAAGAGCACATATGGACACCTTTATGTCTGAACATGGTGTTCATTATGGACAATCCATGATGATGATGATGATGATGATTTGATTCCGTTACAACTGGTACATAAGTCCAATAACAAAAACCACTCAAATTCAGATCGGGGGGCCGTTCCTCCCAACCACACCTCTCCAGGTCTCAGTCGTTGCCCACATGAGCGTTAAAGTCCCCCAGCAGAACGAGGGAGTCACCGGAAGGAGCGCTTTCCAGCACCCCCTCCAAGGTCTCCAAAAAGGGTATGTAGTCTGAACTGTAGTTTGGTGCATAAGCACAGACCACAGTCAGAACCCTCACCCCACACGTAGGCGGAGGGAGGCTACCCTCTCATTCACTGGGGTAAACTCCAACGTACAGGCACCAAGATGGGGGGCAACTAGTATGCCCACCCCTGCTCGGCGCCTCTCAGTGGGAGCAACTCCAGAGTGGTAGAAAGTCCAGCCCCTCTCAAGGAAACTGGTTCCAGAGCCAGAGCCATGCATTGAGGTGAGTCAGACTATATCTAGTCAGAACCTCTCAACCTCACACACCAACTCATGCTCCTTCCCCACCAGAGAGGTGACATTCCATGTGCCAAGAGCCAGCTTCTGTAGCCGAGGATCAGACCGCCAAGGTCCCCGCCCTCGACTACCACCCATCACACATTGCACCCGACCCTTTTGGCCCCTCCCATGAGTGGTGAGCCCAAAAAAAAAAGCCAGAAACACAAAATAAGTCTGTGCGTACCTGGTTGGCTGCATTTAGCAGAGTGTCTCGTTCCTCCAGTTTCTTGTTCAGACCTTCCACTTTCTTACACAGAGAACTGTTTTCCTCCAACTGCTCTGACAAGTTCTTTTTGGCTTCGGTCTCCCTTTCCTCCAATTTTCTAATGCGCCCCAAAAGTTCTTGATTCCGGTCCACTTCATGCTGGAAAAAAGAAAGAAAGACGTAAACAAGGTGGATAAAAGAACACTGAAGAAAACTCTGTGTGTAGTACATCTAATAAAAACACATCAACCAATCATTTTATACTGTGATAAATCAATGTGCTGCTATATTTGAGTTGTGTACCCCCAAATCTCGTGCACTTTCAGAGACCGCCTTCTCCAGCTCAAAACGAGCTCTTTTGTGACTCAGTTCCATCTGTTTCTTTTCCTGGTCCAGCTGTAGATAGCGATGCTGAGTGTGAACCCGCTCTGCTGCTTCCAAAAGCTAAAACAAAGACAAAAGAATTAACCTGCCTTATAGCTAAATATTGATTTTACTAGAATTGACGATAAAGCAAAGGATTTCTGTTTACCTCCATTTGGCGTTTGTACTGATTTTGCAGGTTTCCACTTTCCGCTGATCGCTCCGACTGCAGCTGAGAACGTTCAGGGCGACTTATGAAGGTATTGAAAGACCTCAAAGTTGTTAACACAGTAGTGTCATCTTCAAAATCCATTGTATAGACCACTGGTGTTACTGACTGCACACAATTTAAAAAAAACTCTGGAAATGAAAAAGATTGAAACATCAGAACTTCCTCAATGACAAACACGGACAAGAGCATAATTTCACATAAGTACCATATTTAAAAAATGCTGTAAACCTAAAACTAGCTAGAAATTTTTGCATTAGTATTAATACACAGCTATTATTAGTCAAATACACCAACTAATTTTAAAATGTATTTCTTATCTCTCCAATAAAAACGTCAATTTTGCATATAACAAGGTTAGTTGTAGCAATTTTCAATAAAAGTAGAGAAAAACTAAAACTCCGTCCTTTAATAAGCAGTCACAACACTGTCTTTACCATCTATGTGTGTGCTCTATTGCTTAGCATGTCTTTGTAAAATTACAAACAGAATAAAGTGCATATCAACTTTATAACGTGGATTTGTAGCATAATCATTCATTAGCTTCCTTGATTAGCTCAATAATGGAAGCAGAACAAGTAGCAAACAAGTAGATAGAATGTCTAACATGTAGGCTATTTGATTCGTTTTCAAGTTCGGTTTTTCTGCTTTTTAAAGATTTCCAAGACGGTGAGGTTTTGACTGTTGTTTTTAGCCATGGACTAGCTACACAAGCTAAACATTAGAACTAACGGCGTTTATGCAGCTTCTCAAAACACGTCACAAAGTTATTAATGTTAAAGTTTTCATCAATGTACAACTTTTGGCAACATAACACCGTACCACATAAACGTCTGTAAACAGGTGGAGGTCTGTCGCAGATAAGTTATCCCCACTGCTAACGAGTTAGCACTTTAGCTGCTCGTTGGAAAGCCCTCCAGTTTTACTCGAATGGGATGCACGTAACATCGCGAGACTATCATTCTCTATCTTTTTCTTTTTTCCTGTTAATTTTCTGTGGCTTCAATTCAAATGTATCATTCGTGTTTTGTAGCAATGTTCAGAAAAACTAAAATAAAAATACAAGAATACAGCAAGTCAATAGAAGTAATAGTTTTTTTTTTTCATTTTAATTATTAAATGAATTACATGACTAAAGCTGTTGGGCTTTTCTGTGACCAAAAGGACATTTCAGTAGGCTAACTCAAGGATGTGTGTATATTCTATTGCATAGATTTTTCTAGCCTGGCCTACCTGACTCGTCCTCTGTTTAATTCTGCACAGAAAACGAGTAGAATTAAACAGAGGAGTCTTGCTGGCCAGGCTAACATTTTTCTGCATAAAGACAAAATCCCTAATTTGTGTAAACTTGGAAACAAACCTAAATCTGATTTTATTTAAATTTTATTTACCACAGAAATTCCAATATATTTAAGAATACTATTGACCTGCACATTTGTGTATGCTTTTGAAACCTAAAATCAGGGCTTACAAGATCCGGGAACTATCTTATTTTGAAAGGACTGTTCTGGCCACTGTCTGCTAGGATCCGGCGACTCACGCAACAAACTGGAAGCCCTCAACACACACCCAGGGGGAGCCCGAAACGATCCTGGTTCTACTTACAGTGGGGCAAAAAAGTATGTAGTCAGCCACCGATTGTGCAAGTTCTCCCACTAAAATGATGGCAGAGGTCAGTAATTTACATCATAGGTACACTTCAACAGTGAGAGACACTGATTTACAAATAAATTCTTTAAAAATCCTGCCATGTGAATTCATGGATTTTTTTTCACATTCTGTCTCTCACAGTTGAAGTGCACCTATGATGTAAACTACTGACCTCTGTCATCATTTTAAGTGGGAGAACTTATCGGTGGCTGACTAAATACTTTTTTGCCCCACTGTATATTACATTGTCTATGTGGATTCTCCAGGGATATTTAATTTAAGTAAGAGCTGAGAGGCGCAAAGCTCTGATCATTGGTGCGCTCCAGACAGACGTGTCCTGAGCACGGCCACAGTAACATTCTCAAAGTGTCGCCACCTCAAAAACAAATTTAACACGCAATTGTTTATGCCTGCTCATATCCTTTCATGCTTTCTGTCTTTTATTTGTGCCTGATGCGTTTTATTGCTGCGGTGCAGAGCGCATCACCTGTTTAGTCCTCCAGTGAATTCACCTCACAGGTGCGGTCAGCGCTCACTCCGCTATTTTCGCGGTCGGTAGATCGTTTTGAACTGTAGTTCAAAGGTAACTCATGAAGTGAAAAATATGAAAACAGGTAACAGTTTTTCTTTAGGATTGAGGGGGGATGCAGGAAGATAATAAACAGACAGGACAGAAAATAGTCACATAAAAAACAAGTTTGTTTTCGTATCGGGTGGTTGCTACAAACAGACACCAATGAAGGTAATCAGAAGTGAGGAACAGAAAATGAAATAATTATTTCAATGTTTAGATCAGCAGGAACTCTGAGAGGCTGCAGGTGCATCAGTGAGTTTGCGGCCGCTGCACAAAATCTAAAAAAGAACTGAAAACCTACAGGACACATAATGTAATAATAAAATACATAATGGGTTCATATATGAGTGTTTAATGTCGCTGAGCAGCTTTAGAGTCAAATATTTATGCCACAGTTCAAGAATGTCAGAAATGACACCAAATGAAATGTTTGACTTAGATATTTTATTTGAACCCAGTGGTCTCATTTCTGAAATGTTGGAGAATGAATCAAGTTCTGTTTGATGCAGAAAATAATAAAACATAAAACAAATTCTACACTTCCAATAATATTTAAGATGTGTGTTTTATTCTTCCTGATAATAACACCAGCAGAAGGCTGTGGGCTGGATTAGGATTAAATTACCCAGCTGATGGATCTCTTTCACTAACCAGCTAACTACAAACCTTTCCACTAACCTGTCCTGTGTGACCCTCACCATGTAACCCTCATGTCCATGCTGTCTCTGGAGGAGCAGAAGACAGACCTCCTGTAACCTAAAATGAACCAAAGCTTCCTCCCAGTTTTTTTAATTGAATCTAACATCAGTTTATCATCATGAAACAAAAGAATAAAGTGGAACAAGAACTTCTATCTTCTATTTCTCTCTCCTTTTAACTTCTCAGTGTCCCGAAATAAAAAAGAGACAGATGATCACGCTGCAGCCGCCATCATTGACCCGGTGTTGTGCCATAAATCGACAGGCTGCCAAAAAATGATTAGCCACCGTGGCATGGACGTAATTTTTGGGGGGAGACAGGGGGACATGTGCCCCCCCCCCCCCCACCACCACCACCACCACCACCACCGCCACCACTTTTTCCAAAGTCAAGTTTTGACCCCTGCACTTTTTACCATCCAAAAACAATATTAGACCATATTAAATTGACACTGGTTGAGCTCTAGGACCAAGCGGAAAACAACCATTTGTGTTGAAGCCTGTTTCCCATTAGAACACACTGTAAATATAACCCCCTCCTCGTGTCCCCTCCACCGCGGGATCGCGCACGGTTAGGGTAATTGCATTTCTAGACGAAATTCCCCAGGATTTTGCCTGAAAACTCAGCATATGTAGCAATATGGACATTCAGAAAGCAGAGATAACCTCGTCCGGTACTTAAACAGATGTTTATCGCGGATATTAGTTTTTCCAATTCGGAAGTTGTTATAAGTGTTGCTATTTGTCTTAAACGTTCACAATGAGGATATATTAATCCTTTTTGCAATATTTGCCATTGAAAGATGGTTTGTGGTAAGAACTGGCTATCTTTATGTTACAACCGTGATACTAAAAAATAAATAAAATATGTAAAATGGCACCCTGTATTGAATGTAAAGTCAAACGTTGTATAAATGCACATAAACAATTTTCCAGCGATTTGATTTTTTTCCCCCTTCCTTTCTTTAGTCCACTTGACATGGAGCCACAGTTGTAACTAGTTTGGGGCACATTTTTACTTGAAAAATAGTATTTAAACTGATCAAGCGTTGACTTTACAATGACACTGTGTAAGTTGCTATCTATAAATTACTTTACTCTATTTAAAAGTAACAAGATAAAAGCACTTCAGCACATAAAATTAAGATTGTCACTTGCCAAATAGTGACTATACCCTCCTGTTTACCTATAAGAAATGCCTAAAAATATCTTAAAATTTTTTATTGATGATTTAATTGTAGACAACAAAAATGGCATTTTACTTGCCAAAAAGTGATTGAATCGCTCAGTTTTTCACTGAGGCTAAAATTGACCAAGTAAGGGTTTTATGAATTATCTGCTGATGTTACTGTACTCATACTGTCTACTGTATCATCATAAACACCCCAAAAATGGCAAAAAAAAAAAAAAAAAAAAAAGATAATTTCCCTTGCCAAAAATTGATTACAGGGTCCTGGTCACATGTAAAGGGTTAAATTTACCTAAACATTACCTTATTTATTATCTCTTGATGTTCTTAGTCGCATCACAGGATGCTGGGTCTCTGCCACATTCATAAACACCCCAAAAATGGCAACAAATGATCATTTCCCTTGCCAAAAATTGATTACAGGGTCCTGGTCACCTGTAAAGGGTTAAATTTACCTAAATATTACTTTATTTATTATCTCTTGATGTTATTAGTCGCATCACAGGATGCTGGGTCTCTTCCACATTCATAAACACCCCAAAAATGGCAAAAAATGATCATTCCCCTTGCCAAAAATTGATTACAGTGCCCTGGTCACCTGTAAAGGGTTAAATTTACCTAAATATTACTTTATTTATTATCTCTTGATGTTATTAGTCACATCACAGGATGCTGGGTCTCTTCCACATTCATAAACACCCCAAAAATGGCAAAAAATGATCATTCCCCTTGCCAAAAATTGATTACAGTGCCCTGGTCACCTGTAAAGGGTTAAATTTACCTAAATATTACTTTATTTATTATCTCTTGATGTTCTTAGTCGCATCACAGGATGCTGGGTCTCTTCCACATTCATAAACAATTTTTGGCAAGGGAAATGATCATTTAAAAAAACAAAACTATTCCACTATAATCGATTATGGCGTACTCTTCTACGATGCAGAATCGTTTATGTCCGCATCCCGATGCATCAACTATTTGATTATTTTCCGCAGCTCTACCTAAAATGTATTTAACAGATCAAAATGTAATTTCACCATTCGTCCCACAGAGAGCAGCAAAGCTGCATCAACAAGTTTGGAGATTTTCCATCTTGAATGGGAAAAAGTGATCAGGTTAAAGACATGTCAGGAAATTGGACCCAATTTTAAAAAAAAGGACAACACCTTTTGGAGGAAAATGTGTCAGCTGTTTTGGATCACAGACACCTCAACCCAGAGTACAGGAACTATCCGTTTCAAACTTAGTTTGAGGTGTGGGTGTTAAAACATTAGCAACAGCTTGAGTTTTCATCTCAGGTGGTAGGTGATAAAAACATCCAATACCCTTCACACTCATGTAAGCCAAGTCATCCACTAGGCTTTGTGACGTTGAGTGGTGTTTTGAAGCAAACAAAATACACACTCTGTGCCAGAAAATACAAAAACACCATTTAGTCAAGTTTGGACTGACAATCATTTAACTTCAAGTAGTTGGTTCCAGAGTTTAGGGACAAAACCAAAAATGCACGGTCACTAGATTACCATTTTGTCCAAAACCACCAAGAGACCATAACTGGCTGAGCAATAAGATCTCCATGGGACATGTAGGCTGGAGCCATCCTGGCAAGAGCCTCATACACCTGAACTAAAATTTTACTATGGATCCAAAGCTTTGTGGGAAAGCCAGCACAGAGAGACCAAGATAAGGGAGATGTGTTCCCATCTCTTCACTCCAGATTTAAATCTCTTAAATATACTCAGTAGTTAGATAGCTAGATAACACTAACTCTACATGGATCACACACGAACCATGGATTGACACACATATTGTTTTGTGAAATGACAATATTATGGAAGAAATACAGTCTCAGGTTATGACTTTAATTTATACATTGAATTTTCATTCTGTGAAATTATCTATTTCAATGATTTTACTAAAAGTACGCAAAAAAATTTATTCTGTTAAAATTCAGCTGAAAAATTCTATCTTGAAAATTTCTGTAGAATTCTAAAATAAAATTTCATCAGCAAAAAAAGATTTTCAATGACCCCCTGGTGACCCAAGCCAAAGCAATCGTCACTCAATCAAATTACGGGTCCGATCATGTGACACTAGTGAGTGTCACATGATCAGACCCGCAATTTGATCAGTTAAAAACCACTCAACTCAGTTGAGTGGCGATTTCTTTGGCTTAGGTCACAAGGAGGTCACCTCATTTATAACTGAATTTCTGCTGTTGAATTTTTACGTTAAAACTATGTTGAATTTTTGAAGAAGAAATTCTGCTTTTGATTTTTTTGGTGTATTTTAAGTAAAACAGAAAATCAAATATACAATTTCACTGAATAAAAATGTAATAATTCCATGTCTAAAAAAATCATATTCAGGGGAAACTATAATTTGACCAAACTGTACTGTCTGTCTTTCAACGGATGAATCCATTGACGTCGGTTTCAATTCTCACAATCATGTTCTTGTATTGTGATGGGCTGGTTTCAAGAAAAACAAAAAAAGATTAAAAATACTAAACAATTAAGCACACAGTCCTAAAAAGTAGAGTGAGTCTGAGCACTTCAGTTTATGAATGGAACAAGTCAGAAAATCAAATTTGTATTATCTTCAGACACAGACAGCCCCGCATTCAAAGCAGGCAATTATTGTGTGGAAATCCCTGTAAGGTCTCTGAGCAAAAACAGTTTACTGCATCCATTAATTTAAGGTAAAATCTAATAATGAGCAAGAGAAAAAAAGAATCAATAAATTGAGTCGATAAATCCCAGTATTTTTACTGTTACAGTAATAACACGGTTCTGTTGGAAATTGTTTGCTTTAGATTGTGTGGTGTTCCAGCCAGGCTCATTTGGCTGATTTGCGTCATTTCAGTTGTTCATTTTCAAAGACTCAGTGACAGCTGGTCCAGAACCAAAGATACAATAGGCATAAAATCTACAAAGCCACAAGGCCATGTGTTCAAACAATACATTTCATCTTTTCATTGATTCAAATCCTTCAGAAGGTATGCTTACATAAACACTGATATCTCATTTATTAGAATTTGTTACGTTCATGAGAGATACTGTTAAACGTCTGTTGTTTCATTCATTGTGTCTCATGGTTTTCTAATGCAAATTCCAGTGCTTCATGGAGACAAGCTAATAAAGATATTTGTTTTTGATTAGTTCTTGAATTTTACTCAGATTATCTGAAAAAGTAAGTAATGAGCAGGAAAATCAATTAGATGTTCTGCTTTCATTAAGAGAAGTCAAAACAGCTCTAAAAAATATTAAAGCGTAAATCTCCAGATGTAGATGGTTCAAGTGCTGACCTTTATAAATCACTGACCTTTTGCCATCAGACACTTTTCATACAACATAGTGAACGAGAACATCTGCCATCTGCTCTCATTCAGGGCCTCACTATATCAATCCCAAAGCCAAAAACAGATGAATTTATAACATCCATCTGCCTTCCGTACAACTTTAGCCAAATTCTTTCATCACAGATGAAACAAAAAGGTTTCATGATGAGATTTCTGATAATATACAGTTAAAATCTGATCTCACTGATAGCTCTCCGCTCGTCCATGAAAGAAGAAACTTTAATAGCCACAATTTTGTGGTAGAACTTCTGCCAAAATTCTACCATGAAACCATTTTTTTTTACATTGCAGGATGACAGTAATGCTCTGGTTTTAGATTTCTGCTGTTGATCATACCCAGCCAGCATGCATAGGTGGGCCATATATGGACATTTATGGGCAAACCATATGGGTGCTAACAGGGTTTGTGCAGTTTCCATGATGGCCCATAGGGGTTTTCCCAGATAGATTTTTTCCACATAAAATTTAACAGGGCCTGCATATGTTTCCAGGGGGACAAAGATGGTATGACTCATATAAAATCTATGTGCGAAAATCCCAGTGGGGTCACCATGGAAACCGCGGACAAACACTGTCGGCACCCTTATGGTTTGCCTATATATATATATATATATATATATATATATATATATATATATATATATATATATATATATACATATATATATATATATATATATATATATATATATATATATATATCCATATGGGGCCCACCTATGCGTGCTAGCTGTCGTCTCTGCACTTAAAGTCCCTTGGCTTTGGACATATTCTCTGTGATGCAGCACACATAACATTAAAATTTGGGATTTCACCCTACTTGTTCTTCATCTGTGGACAGTTGCTTGCTGACCTCATTCAATCTAGCCCTTTGAGGGACATCTCTTGTGCAGATTTTTTGATAAGTCATGTGACATCCTCTGCTAATAAATGCAATATAAGCGTTTGAAAGATTTAAATACTTGCACTGAAAGATTTAAGGGTGATGGCTCAACAAAATTTTGATTTTAAAGTATCAAATTGTCGCTGTAATAGCTGTTTTGTAACATTTACACTAACCTTTTGACATACTGATAAAATGATGAATGCTGTGAGACAACAAATCCTTTAACGCAGTACTAGGCTTCAATCATAAGATAAACAATCACCCAATAGAATATAAAGAAACATGGTTTATTTGCATACTAATATTAGTTACAGACAAGATGACTAACTTTAAATGAACACTAGGAGGAGCTATAGATGGGTGTTAAAGACAAGCTTGTGAAAAGTGAAATGCTGTGAATCAGTCTGAAAAAGGTCAAACCGAAGACATTTCATCCTCAGACTAGAAAAAAGTGGCTTTGTTTCTATCAGCCACCATCTTTTCTTTATCTTTGTCCTCCTCCCTGCCCCTAGTGGACTCAGCCTATTTGTGTCCTCCTCTCCCACATCACGTCTGTTTCCCTTGGGCCCACAATCTCCCACACTCTCTGACTACCAACACAATTTTCCCCCTCACTGTCCTTCCTTATTGGTCACTAAAGTCTGACTCAGTGCCCCCCCCCCCCCCCACCCCCCCACCCCACCCCGCCACACACACAATCTCTGTTCTGTTGCTCTTATCGCTGTCTCCACTGCATCAGGCCAGCATGGATGTTTCAGTGTCGACCAGTCGGGATAAATTCACAAAAAACTCATGTTTGGATCAGAATATGAACACATGTCCAATCTGAGTGTCAGCACCCCTCAGCATCTGAACATGAACACAATAATGTAATAAAAAGAATGTGATGGTGAGAAAAAACCTGAAACAGATGGAAATGCTGGACAGATCCCAGCTTGGGCTGTGTTTTAAAAGAGATCTAACTGAAAATGCACCTTTAAAGCCGGGCGTACACTGTGCGAATTTTTTGCTTTTTTGAGCCGATTTTCCACTCGTGCGAGAATCCACGAGATCGGGGCGAGTTTTGCGCCGAGCGTCGTGTAGTGTACAGGGGGTTACGAGAGGCGATTAACACCACGTGACCAGCTACCGATCAGCAGTCGTGAGCTCGCACGGACTTCTGGCGTGTTTAATATTTTGCTCGTCCCTCGTGAGGGTATCGCACTGTTGAAGCGGCGCTGCGAGCAGCTGCGACCCAAAATGTATCAGAACCGCTCATGGCGCATGCGCAATCCTTTATCAACGCCGCTCGCTCGCTCTTTCCCTAATAACACACACTGTTCGTTTTTATTTCTACACGTTTTTTTACTCACAAAGATTGTCAAGAAAGCGTGTTTGTCGTGTTCATGTCAAATTAAACTGATCACAAAACACAGATTTACTTTCTTTGGCTGTGTCTCAATTCAGGGTCTGCATCCTTCGAAGGACCCAGCCCACCCGGCCGACGTGGGCTGCGTCCTCCGTCGGCCGGGTAGACCGGATGTTAACGGCTGTGAATTTGGACAGGCCTAGCCTTCATGAACTCCCTCGGCGAACGTTCCGTCGCCTAGCAACCGTGGAACCGCTGGGCAGAAGGAACCTTAAACGATGGAGCTCGACGTTTTATTTAGCTTTTTAACCCCCAGAAACCCAAATTTAGAAAACAACTGCAAAATATTTTTAACCTTTCACATGTTGTTCTAGGAGGCCAGATAAACGGGCCTATTTACACATTTTAACAGCCAATAGTGTTGCAGAACTGAATAGGACCTATTAGCAATGTAAATGTGGTTTTAAAAAGAAAAAAATGGGGAAGGTTTATTTTTGTAGACTTAAATCTGATGTTGTAATATTACAACCGTGGGTCTCTGGGGGTTAATCATTTCCTTGACTGTTGGAGAGCTAATTCAGAGAAAATACTTTAGACTAGCTGAGCCTGAGCAAAGATGTGATAATAGTTTTTAATACTTTCTAAGGGTCTTAATTTCACCAAAACCGATTTATCACCTTTTAAAACTTTTCAAGACCCAGCGGATACCCTCTAGTAAACAATTCTCATTTGTAAACAAAAATAAAATTCAAGAGTTTAATGCAGAACTGATTTTATTTAGATATTTCTTTTACATGTACATGTTTAATCTTCATTAACCATTTTTTTCTAGCAAAGTAAAAAGCTGTCAAAGTTCTTCCTTCTCTCCTGTGCTCTCTGCTGCTCTGCAGCCTCATGTCCTCCCAGATCAGCTCCAGAAGCTCATCGCTGGCACCTTCCCCTGGATGCCCATTTTCTCCAGAATAGTCTTAACAAACATGTAAGAAAAGAAACAGGAAGAGAAAAGAGGACAACGGGTTATTCCTTTCATGTTTTCGCAGAAAAAAATATACTCAAACGAGTTTTTAAAATATGAGATGTTATTGTACCTCCATGCCACAGCCGCCGAATACTTTGCTCCGGTGATCATGTGGTCCATCTCCGCCCTAAGCTTAATAAATTCCCTGGTATTCTCTTTTGGTCCTAAAATACAAACTTCTATTAAAATCAGGGGGAAACGTAGTGGGAGAAGTACGACACCGAGCGCGGCCGAACATACGAGCCGAGACCGCAATACAAGCACTTTTACTGTAACATTTCTAACTAAAATAACGTTCATGTATCACAAAAAGTCCTTAAACTGACAGTTTTCAAGTTTATACTTACATTTATATGCGCAATCCTCTCCGACAGCTCCCGCTTCACCTTCCGCCATTGTTTTTAAGTTTTTCTGCCGGCCGGCCCGCAAGGCATCTTGGGAAATGCTACCTATTGAAGGATACACCTGACCCATCCTTCATTCAGGCGAAAAGAAGGCCGCATTCGTCGACCGCATTTGAAGGAGTCTTCGAATTGGGACAGGCCGAGTCGCGGCGCTGTGACGTAACCGGCCGACGAATCCGGCCGAGGTAGGATGCAGACCCTGAATTGAGACACAGCCTTTATTTCGTTTTCCTCATCCAACCCCCATAAATCCCTGTGTGTCCTCCTGCAGCTCTCCCGAAGGACAACAGGCAAAACAAGACAAAAAAGTCTGACGTGTTGAGTAAAAACTGCTATTTTTAGCATATTTTTAGGGCCGACGTGTTGCTACCAGACGTACAGTGTGAGCAGTCAGGTCGCATCCGAGAACTGGGTCGTGCAGTGTGAGCGCATGACTCGTGATCTGCCCTGCGAGGGACAGTGTACGCACAGTGTACGCCCAGCTTAACATTATAGCAGGTAAATGGCTTGTCTAAAAGGCCACTGGGGAATGCTCATGCTGCCTGAAAACCATCTTATATGTAGAGCAAAATCGATTTGCTTCGTCCACTGTCTGTCTAGATTTCTAGGCTAAATTTTTAACTAAACCAGTACATATTTTTATCCACCAGCTTGAATAAATACAAGTTTAAACCAACTGTCAGACTGGGATATCTCTGTGGCAGAAAATACGTCTCAAGAGTAGGGAAAAAATGATTTGACTTAAAAGATAATGTAGATGTAATCAGGGCCGTCTTAACCAGCTGATCAGTAGGCCCCCACAACCCTTAAAATTTCCTACACACACTCATATATATATATATACATATATATATATATATATATATATATATATATATATATATATATATATATATATATATATTAGGGTTAATGAACTACATATCCAGGAATTAAAGGCTGTTGCTATCAGCTTATGTTTTAATTCCTAAGAAGATCAAACATATTGACGAATGAAATTCACACACACACACACACACACACACACACACACACACACACATATGTATATATATACTTGTGGTCTTTGGGGCAGTAATCCCCAAACTGGAGGAGTGGCTAAAGCAAATCCCAGGAAAAACATCAGACATCTAGGTCTAGAAAAGTGCAGTTCTAGGATCAGCTAAGATGCTGCACAGATCTCTCAGGCACCCAGGCCTCTAGTAGAGGACCCAAACTTGATAGATAAGTAATATGCTGACAATTGAAAATACATTATTAAAGCCAACATATCTATTTGAAAGTTTTATTAAACACCATAAAGCATTTAACAAAATAGTGGGAAATTAACACCATCACCTCTGCACAAAAATCAAACAGTGATAACAGCAGAAACAAAGAACAGCAGTAAACAGGTCAGCGCAAGGACCTTCTCTTTAAATAACAAAGCTTAGGGCATGCACATGGGCATACACACGTGCACACATGCACACGTGCGCGCGCGCACACACACACACACACACACACACACACGCAAACTCCTTTCAGCACCATGGCCAATGTGTCAGCAAGTGCTTATTGCTTTACATTTAAAGAAGATTTTCAGTCGTATTTTGTTTTAAAAATCTCACATTTCTCTTAAATCAATGAAAAGTTACAGCAATTTCAAACCTGTGCATGTTACTGGAAAGCAGTAAACAAAGACCTGAACACTTAAAAGTGCTTTGTCTGGTCTTTTTTGCAGCAAAAGCTGTGATAATGTCCTTAAAATCCAAACTTGGAAGGATGTCATGCTCAGTGGACATCAGAGTGAGGTTACTGACTATCTTGCTGCATGTTTGAGTGAAGTTTATTTTTCACCAAGCCCAGCTTGGAGAAGGATCGCTCTCCACTTGCATTGGACACCGGCAAAGTCAGGAATAGCCTTAGAGCAATGTCTGTGTTTGGAAACACCGTGTGGAGATTCCGCTGTCTTAAAACTTTCAGTAACTCCACTGCCGACATATTGCCAACATGAACGTACTTGTTCAGAGACGGTATTTCTCCAGCGACCTGGATCGTTACTGTAAGGATCTTCTACCTCCTCTATCTGCTGGCCGGCTCCAAGCTCCTCCTGTCTGCTGCTCCTCCTCCCCCGCTGTGGTTCCATGCTGCGTGGTCTGCTCCGTGCCTGCAGGCGCAGCATCCTCCTCTCTGACCGGTGAGTCAGTGAGCGAGCTATGTGCAACTTATTTAGCTTTAGATTAAAACATTTCTGTCAGCTTAGGTATTTTCTTTCTAACTTCTTCGTCACGAAGCGCCTTCCGTTTCTGAGCACCGCTCTTAAATTTCTTCCCCGACATTTTCCCAAATTTCTGTACCTAGAAGACCACGTACCGACATTTGGATCAATCAGCAGCCTTAAATTAGCATCTAAGGTGATTGACAGAAAACCTGACAAGTAATAAAACTGTCTGTGTGTTTATTTTTTTTCTTGCAACAATAGGCCTCTAGAGTTCAAAGGCCCCTGGTCACCGCCCCGGTTTGCCCGTGCATTAAGGCGGCCTTGAATGTAATCTCCCAGGGGAGATCAGAGGTAAAGCCTTTATAGCTGTGCGGGTGAAGACAGCACAATAGGGCTTTGTAGTCATGATGGGTCCATAAAATGCAAATATGGGAATGTTGGTGGATGAAAAGATGAAAGGCATGTCACGGTTTGCCTCTGCAGTAACCCATTTGCAGGAATAAAGATCCTTTATCCAGAGTTCAAAAAGATTTAATAAACAAAACTTCCTCCGCTGACTGTGGGAACCAAAAACCAAAACCAAACTCAATCCATACATGTACAACTCAGCAAAGACAACTCCACACTGATGACTGGCAGCAGTGGCCTGAAATAGGGTGAGGGGCAATCAAGATGATGTGGTTCAGCTGCAGCACTCCAGGAGGCTCACAGGGAAGGGGAGGATTCCTGAGAGGAGCTGCAGCTGACCTGAACAAAAACAACAGAGAAAAAGTTAAACACAAGCACAAAAAGGGCGAATCATAACATAACCCCCCTCACAAAGTCCGGCTCCCAGACGGACGTCTCGGCTGGGTGGGGTGTTCCCGGTGAAACTGATCGATCAGATCACGGCTGAGGATGTGGCGTTCTGGGACCCATTGCCTGTCCGCCGGGCCATAACCCACCCAGTCCACGAGGTATTGGACGCCCCTGCCCACTCTCCTCGAGGCCAAGAGCTTATTCACGCTGTAGACAGGTCCGCCATCCACAATGCGGGGAGCTGGAGGGACCGCAGGTGGCGTCTGCAGGGGACAGAGTCTCTCAGGCTTCAGCTTGCTCACATGGAACACAGGGTGGACTCTCAGTGCCCGAGGGAGCTCCAACCTGACGGCTACTGGGTTGATGACCTTGGTGATGGGGAAGGGTCCGATGAATCGGGGCTGCATCTTCCTGGCACCCCCCTTCAGTGGCAGATCAGCCGAAGAGAGCCAAACCCTGTCACCCACCTTGTACTCCGGAGCAGCAGACCTCCGGCGGTTAGCCACGGAGGTGAACCGTTCCTGGTTCCGAACCAGTCGGGAACGGTACTCAGTCCATGTACGACGGCAGCGCCTCACGAATGCTGCAGGACCGGAGGTGGAAGCCAACCTCTCCTGATGGGGGAAGAGAGGTGGTTGGTACCCGTAGGCAGCCTGGAAGGGGGAGAAGCCAGTAGAATTAACCAGGGTGTTGTGCGAATACTCAGCCCAGGGGAGTTGAGAGGACCAAGTCTGGGGGTTCTTCAGGCACATAGCACGCAGGGTGGTCTCCAGATCCTGGTTAAAGCGCTCTACTTGACCATTTGTCTGAGGGTGGAAACCAGAGCTCAGACTGACCGTTATTCCAAGGAGTCTGCAGAACTCCTTCCAAAAAGCTGCAACAAACTGGGGTCCTCGATCCGAGGTGATGTTCTCCGGAAGTCCGTGCAGCCGAAAAACATGCCGCACCACCACCTCCGCCAGTTGCTGAGCCGATGGCAATCTCTGCAGGGGTATAGCATGCACCATCTTTGAAAACCTGTCCACTACAGTCAGGATCACAGTCTTACCCTTAGAGTTGGGTAGTCCAGTGATGAAGTCCATTGCAATGTGGGACCAAGGTCTGGAGGGAACAGGTAGAGGTTGCAGGAGTCCAGCCGGAGGAGTTCTGGGTGACTTGACGCTGGCACACACTGGGCAAGAGGAGACAAAAGCTCGAACGTCAGACGACACCGTAGGCCACCAGAACCGCTGCGCTACCAGGAAGGCAGTCCTGGTTACCCCAGGATGGCAGGCCAGGCGTGATGAATGCCCCCATTTCAACACCGCCGGGCGAAAACCTGGGGGAACAAACAAACAGTGCGGGGGGCATCCAGACGGAATGGTAGTGGGGTCTCGGACTGCAGCATTGATTCTGCGCTCCAAGGACCAACGAGAGACCCCAAGGACCAAGTTGGGCGGCACGATGAACGTGGACTCTGACTCCAAAGCCTCACCCTCCTGCTGGTACTGGCGGGACAGGGCATCAGGTTTAATGTTCTTACTGCCCGGACGGAAGGAGAGGTTGAAGTTAAACCTGTCAAAAAACAGAGCCCACCGTGCTTGGCGGGGGTTAAGGCGCTTGGCAGTCCGTACATACTCCAAGTTCTTATGGTCGGTCCACACCAAAAACGGCTGCTCAGCACCCTCCAACCAGTGGCGCCATTCTTCGAGTGCTAGCTTAACAGCTAGCAACTCTCTGTTCCCTATGTCGTAATTTCTCTCTGCAGGAGTGAGCTTGCAGGAGAAATACGCGCAGGGATGTACTTTATTATCAGACGCTCTCTGTGACAGCACAGCACCCACCCCTGACTCAGACGCATCAACCTCCACAATGAATTGCTTGGAGGTGTCAGGCTGGGTCAGGATAGGGGCCGCAGAGAACCGTCTTTTGAGCTCGGCAAAGGCCATGTCGGCAGCAGTGTCCCAGACAAAACGTACCTTAGCCGAGGTGAGTCTGTGGAGGGGTGCAGCCACGCCACTGAAACCTCTGATGAAGCGCCTGTAGAAGTTGGCGAACCCCAGGAAGCGTTGAAGCTGCTTCCGACCAGTAGGTGTAGGCCACTCGAGAACCGCTTTGACCTTGTCACTGTCCATCTGTACCTCTCCAGGCGTGATCACATGCCCCAAGAACTTAGTCTTGGTGGTGTGAAACTCACACTTTTCAGCCTTACAGAAAAGCTGGTTCTCAAGTAGGCGCTGCAGAACGGCCCTGACGTGCTGCACATGTGTTTTACGGTCTGGGGAGAAAATTAAAATGTCATCCAGATAGACGTACACAAATCTGTTAATCATGTCCTTCAACACATCATTAATAAAACACTGAAACACAGCTGGTGCGTTTGTCAGTCCAAAAGGCATCACCAGGTATTCAAAATGGCCGCACGGGGTGTTGAAGGCAGTTTTCCACTCATCCCCCTCCCGTATGCGCACCAGATGATAAGCGTTCCGTAGATCCAGCTTAGTGAACACCCGAGCCCCTCTAATCTGGTCAAAGGCAGACTGCAAGAGAGGCAGGGGGTAAGTGTTACGAACCGTGACGCTATTCAGACCCCTGTAGTCAATACACGGCCGTAAACCCCCATCCTTCTTGCCCACAAAGAAAAACCCTGCCCCCGCAGGTGATGAGGATGGCCGAATAATGCCTGCCTGTAAGCCCTCCTGAATGTATTCCTCCATGGCTGTTGTCTCAGGGATGGACAGAGGATAGAGACGGCCTTTAGGAGGTTGAGCACCAGGAAGGAGGTCCACAGCACAGTCGTAAGGACGGT